CGAAATTATATATAAGCTAAGATCCAGCTAGACTGTTATAGGCTTCGATTCGTATTAGTTATGTTGGTACATTGTGACGGTCTTTTAAAATTTAATATAATTATATACATAGATTTTTATCTTACAACCGTTTGGATATTTGATTAAAAAATTACAGTGTTACTGAGATTTGCAAAGATATGATAAATTCAGCAGAATATGTTTCTTTTAACAATTTATTAGAATATATAATCAAAATTATTAAAAATCTAATAAATATATTTTGAAAATATACAAACATTGGTCAGTTCTAGTGGTACAATGAAGATCACTATTTTATCATCTACTACGCATGCGCATTGAATAAAAGCACTTAACGTGCTTTTTTATCACTCTAAGGGCCTCTTTCACCAACTTCTGATTAAATTAATCGACGATTTATTCGCAGAATTGCCAATAGCAGTTTAATATATCACAATGCTTCTCTCTCTCTCTCTCTCTCTCTCTCTCTCTCTCTCTCTCTCTCCCCCCCTTCCTCTTTCAAGATAAACTGTTTAATTCTCACATTGGCTACCGTGATAATTGAGTTAACTATCGATTAGCATTAATCCCTTAAAGCGTTAATACCCTTAACAATTATTTATTGACTGTCAGTGGGGATAAGGATAGCTTTCGTCTATTTTTGCAATTATTTTAAAGCGATCTCATCATTTCGTTTTATTCAAATGATTTTTATTTACAAATGGCACAAATCTATGCGTAATTTTTTGTCTATGACGTCACGATTTCAATACAACCGTAATGACTACTAAGAAACCTTAATCATTCAAAAAAATATAATTAATATAAATATTAAAAGAAACTACTAATTTTGAAATAATCTTATAAAATTAATTATTTCAAATATTTGCATATGTGTTGATCACAGATATGTTGTTATTTGTACAATTTTTATAAAATAAAATAATTTTTTCAGAAAAAATTTGTTTTATATCTCTACTAGTTAGACATATTTACATTTTAACATTTAAATCAAGCACACTGTATGTGTACATTAAATTTTAATACTATAATTATAATAATATGAGATCTATCAAAATTATATATGATTTTGATGCAAAATAATAAAATTTAATATTATGATTTTATTACATAGTTTATCGTACATTATTATTTGATAAATTTTGTATTTAGTATATTTTTTAATGTAAATTTATTCTTATATACCTTTATTGCATATATGAAATATATTTCGCATTGTGTGAGACCTAATAAACAAGAAACGTTTTAGAACATTTTAGCCACATCACAGCAACGTTCTTACAATGTTACTGAAATGTTGCAAAATGTTTCTGGCTTACTGAGAATATATCTGAAATTAATTTAAATTATTTTCATTTAAACAATATACTTGCAAAATGTGTGTATGTGTGTATGTGTGTGGTTGATGTTCATTATAAAATATTAAATATTGTTATAAATTCGAAAAAAAATAAATTATATAATGGCTGTATTTAAGCAAAAGACGAAGCTGCTATCCTGTTTGCTGAGTGAATCTATAAGTAAGAATTAATCATGTTTGATCGTACGATTAGTTGCTTTGCCAACTTAAATGCACTTAATATAAGATTTTAATACTTTATTTATTGTAGAATCATTTTGACTAATTTTTATTGTTTTAATATTGTAATTGATAAAATGTGAACATAAGATTGTTTAAAACTTTGTTATATATTTTATGAGTGTATATTTTTTATAATTTTCACAAAAAAAATTTTGCAGTGATTTGTCTTACTTCATATTCAGTATATATCATTTAAGTATTCAGTATATATCATATAAGTATTCATATAAGTATCAACTAAAAAAAATAAGTAACAATTTTAATATTTTATTCTGAATTTTATTATCATATAGGTATATGATAATAAAAATGTGTGTATACATATGTATGTATATATACCAGCTAATGGGGCAGCAGCTAGCTCAAAACATTGTTTTTCAAAATCAGTTTTTTTTTAGTAAACAAGCTTTATATAAAATTTATTTGATATTTTGAGAAGATTATAAAATAATCATCTTAGCTTGATCTTAATTGATATCTTCAAAATATTTAGAAAATTTTTACAATTTTAAAATCAAATTCTAAACTTTTTTTATATAAATCGATTTTCTTTGATATAAACATATAAAAAATTTCTAACACATAAAGATAATATTCTCTCATAATCATTAGTTTGCGATATATTTTATATTTTATTATAATATTTGAAAGTAAATGTGAAATGTTTCATGAAATATTTTCTTTCCAATGATTTTTACTTCAATACTTGAATTAAAAAATAATTTTTGCGTGCGCGCGTGCATGCATGTATCAACATAATAACACATTCATATATAAGTATACATATTGTATATATGTATGTTCATACATATAAGCGTTTATGGTTTTACATTGTAAATGTGTTAAATAAGGAATATACATATATGCGACATTCCACGCCGAATTGGCACCGACTCCTGTCGATTTTTTTTACTGATTTTTTAATATATTCTTAGGATTAAAATACGTATTCAGTTATTTTTTTAAATTTTTATCTCTGTTAGTTTCCTAGATATGAATTTCCTCAAATTGTCAATTTTTTTTATTTCGCAAACGTTTAGTTGAATATAATTTTTCTGTTTAAATTATTTACTGAGAAACACAAAATAACCGTATCAAATTGTTTATTTTGAAATTCTTTATTAGGAAAAAAATCAATAAAAAAATCGACGGTGACGTGGAATCGAAGGAGTCGGTGACGAAGGCCGTCCGATTTGGCGTAGAATACCTCATATATCTTATATTATTTCTTATTTTAATCTAAGTTTTTTTCTTTTTTAAGAACTTTTTACCCAATTCTGTTTTTATTACTTATTGTTTCGCCTAGAAGAGAATAATTATTATGTATGTGTGTATGTATAGTTATTAATTAATATTACTATCTATCTAGTTGTAATGAAAAGCTAATATTATAAGTGTGTTAAGCTGTATAATATTTATAGTGTTAAATAAAACAGAGAACTAAGACAATTTTTTGTATGAATGTATAAGATAAAATAATTTAGATTAACGAGATTTATAATAATCTGATAATAATATATATATATATATAAATTTAATGTATACTTCAATCTTCAATGAGATGATCAATTTTATAATGATAGATGAATAATATTTTATTTTATTATAGGCAAGATTTTAATTTATCGATTGATCATTTGCATTGTGCGCAAATATAATTTTATTCCGTAAAATCTATATTTACACATAATGTGATATAATGCGATGAATTAAAAAAATCGCCTTCGTTTCTGTAGGAAATGTCTCCTAACAAGATACAGTCGACATAATATGAAATAGTATATTACTTTATTCCTGTTTGTTAATATTAAACAAAAACGAAAAAATTCATTATGTTATCTGTGTCTTTTGAATGACAAAAAGCCTATAAATAATTATCTTTGTTTTTGACTTAAGGATATAAATCTATCGCACATGAAATGTGCATAATAGAGCATGAGCATAACATAAAACTGTTGGACCAATAGGCATCCAGCATAAAGTTGCCATATTGAATAACATAAGATGCTCATTGGTCCAGCGGTCTTACGTTATGTTTATGCACTGTTATGCGTTTCATGTGCGATAGGCTCAACCCCCCGGATCTACAATAGGTGTTTTAAGTCTTAAATCGTAATAGGCCTTCTACAATAAGGGAGTTGGATTATACTGGCCGTAATCTGTAAAAATTGACCAATTATAATCGATTATTCCCCTCTCATTCGACTGTGATTGGTCAATTTTTACAGATTACGGCCAGTATAAATCAACCCTAAGCCATTACCTAAGTTTTAAGTATTAAGTCATAAGAAATTGACTACTCACAGTCGATTATTCTTCTCACATTCGATTGTGATTGGTAAATTATGATTTAACACTTAAAACTTAAGTGTAATGGCTTATTGTAGAAGGCCCATAAGAAATTAACCAATTACAGTCGAATTCGAGGAGAATAATCAACTGTAGGCGCGTTCAGCGGACTCAACAGTTGAGTGAGCGCTCGCTATTATTGGTGTATTCGTTTAGATCATCCAATCAGAATTTTAGATCTAGAAGAATATACCAATAACAACGAGCGCTCACTCAACTGTTGAGTCCGCTGAACGCGCCCTATTTTTTGTCAAAAAGAACACATCTATAGCAGAGAGAAACCTGAGAGGGACCATATGCCGGTTTTTTTCTTGTAAGGGTGCAGCCACAATATAAGGAATAAGAAATTTTAGCCTATCAGAAACTATATGTATACCAATGTATCCGATTTCTGATAGGTTAAGATTTCTTATTCTTTTACTCCTAATTCTTTAGGGTTGGATTATACTGGCCGTAATCTGTAAAAATTAACCAATTAAAATTCATTATTCCCCTCTCATTCGACTGTGATTGGTCAATTTTTACAGATTACGGCCAGTATAAATCAACCCTTATTCCTTTTATTGTGGCTGTATCTTAACCGTCGAAATCGCCCGACACTACCGTCAGTACGTCCACATTTCGGTTTGAGAACTTGACGAGTCGCACACAAACTCAAACTCGTGACATACGTGTGACTAGCAAGAACTTCTGCTTTCACGTTTTTCGCCCTAGGGAAAAAGTTACGTGATTGATATCCTGATCTATTCTTCTTGTGGCGTTGGCGGCGGCAGAGATGGTGATAGCATTGCGGCGTGTTCCAAAAGTTGATTCTGTCAACTCCGTGTATCTTTTATCCTTATTCAACATTCGGTGTACTACAAGGATAAAATAATACTCGAGTTGACACAGTCGAATTTTGGAACGCAACCTGGTGCTGGCTGGTGGTGGCGGTGATTTTATGTTAGTGTTTATCGCTCTTGCGGTGTATGTCACGCAATTGAAAAGTCTTCTTTCTCTTTTTGTGTAATTTTTCAGTATTTTGCAATTTGTTTATCGTGGAATAACGATGTCGGGATATCATAAAGTGAATTATTATGAATTGTGTCGTTTGTGTACCAGCAGTGAAGGTAACAAGATAAATATTTTTCGTGATGAAGGACGTAGACGAGAACTGCATACAAAAATACAGACGTATCTTCCGATACAGGTGAGCATTCATGCTTAATTTCCAAGCTATCTTTTATTCTTTTGTAATAACATAATTACTCAATTCCACTTAACCCTATTTGTTAATTTCATATGTCGTGAACAACACAAGATTTTCCAAAGTTCCTTCGGAAAGTCTACAAAAAATAATACTTCGAGATCTTAGACTTTAAAGATTACGCTTTGATTCACTTGGTGAGAATTATTCTTACATGGAAATTCATGATGTTGGAATAACATTTTTTAATTATGAGATTATATTGTTATACATATTTGCAAGTTAACGTTTTATTCAAAATATAATAATGTTTTTATGACTTTATATTTTAGAACAATAACATACATTTGTTTATTTATATGTGTATAATAAACAGAATGTTTAAAAAAGTTTTGATTAAATTTAGGATAATAAGTTTACTGTGTATTTGTATTATATTTATGTTCTGATGTGAATATAATATATATGTACGTATGTGTAAAAGCTTGAATTTATGAAAAGAATGTAAATAATTAATTTAAGTAATTAAATGTTTAATTTAAATAAATTAAGAAATTACTTTTTTATTTTTTAACGTAATATTTAAGCTTTTAAAGTTTTATAAATATTTTTATTTAGTAATAATATAAACAAACATAGTTTTATTTGATTATTTATATTGTTATTGTGGTACACATTTCAACAAAGGTATATCATTATATTATATGTTATTAATGTCATTTGATATAATTTTATATAGAATTGTACTATTATTGATATAACTTTAACATGTTTCTCTAAAACATTATAGTGTTGTTTATGTTTATATAATTTAAATAAAAAGTT